GAGGAGGAGGAGGAGGAGGAGGAGGAGGAGGAGGAGGAGTTTGGATTCATACCCCGCCCTTCACTCAGAGTCTCAGAGCGGCTTACAGACTCCTCTCCCTTCCCCTCCCCACAGAAGACACCCTGTGAGATAGGTGGGGCTGAGAGAGCTCTGACACAAACTGCTCTTTTTTAAGGACAGCTCTGACAGAACTATGGCTTGTCCAGGGTCATCCAGCAGCTGCAAGTGGAGGGACGGGGAATAAAACCTAGTTCTCCCACACTTAACCACTACACCAAATATTTCACACATTAAAGCAGCACCTTGAGCTGTGTCCAGAAACAAACTGGGAGCCAATATAGACTAGGCAAGACTGGAGTGATATGTTCCCCATGAACCACTCCCGTCAACGTCCAGGCCCCAGAACACTGCACCAACTGAAGTCTCTCAGCCCCATGCTGGGTACCACTGAACTAGACGTAACCAGGGCACATGAAATGGTGCCAAAATACAAATACATTTAAAACATTCAAAACCATTAAATAAAACATATAAATAAACAGGGAGTACGACTAATAACCGTTAGTGACAGAATGCCATCATGTTCTGTAGATGACCCTCAGGAAATAAATCTGATGGCATACACATGACGCATTAACTAAGATTTAGCAATCTTATTACAAATCAGTGCTCTTTGAAATGTTGCAGAAAGTAATTCTTTGATTCATCCACGTATGACCCACTGAGAGTTGGTGTGGCCCAACCTATGGGTGTCTACCCAGACATTGTTAAATTATTTATTTTCCATAGTACTATGACTTACATAAATTATAGCTATCATATCGATATAGATATAGTAAAGGTAAAGGTTTCCCTTGCTCGAAAGCCCGTCGAATCCGACTCTAGGGGGCGGTGCTCATCTCCGTTTCCAAGCCAAAGGGCCAGCGCTGTCCAAAGACATTTCCGTGGTCATTTGTCCGGCGTGACAAGATGCCAAGGCGCATGGAACACTGTTTCCTTCCCACTTGCAATTTCTTGTTTTCGAACTGCTAAATTCGCAGGAGCTGGGAGCAGAGACGGGAGCTCACTCCATCATGCTGCACTCGGGTCTTGAACTGCCGAACTACCAGCCTTAAAGTCTGCATTTCAGCGTCTTAACTTCTGAGCCACCGTGACCCCAAACACACACACACAAACACACACATATATGTATATAAAAGCACACACACACACACATAGCAATGTCACTTCTTTGGGTTATCATTACAAATGCATTCATGCCTACAATGTGTCAGTGGTGTTCAGAAGCACTTCTGGCCTATCAGTAAAATTAATTAAATCAAAATAGCTCTCTCTCCCCCCTGTTTAAGGCACATTCTGGGGGGGGGACCCTACCATGTTTTAACAGAAGCCTTGTGTCCAGATCACGGGAGGTGGTATTTCCGCTCTATTCTGCTATGGTTGGGCCTCACCTGGAGTCCTGTGTCCAGTTTTGGGCACCACATTTTAGGAAGGATGTTGACAAGCTCGAGCGTGTTCAGAAGAGGGTAGCCAGGATGGTGAGGGGGTTGGAATTCAAGTCTTAGGAGGAAAGGCTGAAAGAGTTGGGTCTGTGTAGCCTGGGAAAGAGAAGGCTTAGAGGGGACACGATTGCAGTCTTCAAGTATCTCAAGGGCTGTCATGTAGAAGATGGAGCGGATCTATTCTCTCTTGCTCTGGATTGCAAGACTAGGTCTAATGGGTGGGAATTACAAGGGAGTCGTTACCGGCTAAATATCAGGAGAAACTTCCTGTCAGAGGGGTTGAGCAGTGGAACAGTCTGCCTTAGGGGCTCCTTTGCTGGATGTTTTCAAGCGTAGGCTGGATGACCATCTTTTGGGTCTGTTGTAGGGCTCTCTTTCGGCTCTGCTCCTGCAGAGTGCAGGGGGTTGGACTAGATGACCTGCAAGATCCCTTCCAACTCTAATATTCTATGATTCTAAGGACAGTTCTCCTTCAAGGACTCCCTCTCAGGACATGTGGAACAAAGGATCCCAACATTTTGTGACAGACAACCCCACCAGAAATGTCAAAAAGGGAGTTGAAACCCCGGGGTGGGGGGGCGGCAAGGGCTAAAGGTTAGCTCTGGAGCCAAAACCACAGCTTGCTTGTCTTGACAGAAATAGCGGCCGTATCAGACGCCATGAGTCACTAAATAAACACACCAAGTGTCCCACTGCCCAGAACTTTGGATGTTAATAATCCCACTTTAAAAACGTTAATGTTCATTTCCGTTTTCTCAGCCCACAGATAAAGACAGGTTGGTAAACGTGTTTAGTCACTGGAACCGGATTCTCAAGTGGAATTTCACCATTTTCTGACGCCTGCACGGTGTTGACAGCATTTATTGATTGTGTTGTACAGTAATTATGATGTGTGTGCCAAGTCTCTCATTAAAAGCATCATCTCCTTGGTACAACATAGTTCATTTCGAGCAATTATGCCCGGGGAAACACAGTTGCTGACATCGTTGGCATATAATCGCCTGTCAGTGCCTGGCATCTGTTCATTGGGACCACGACTCAGTTCCTAATGCAAGCTAATTCCAACTAACAGGGACTCCACCTGGCACAGAGAACACAAGTTTACCCCATAATGATCACAATGAGTGTTAAAAGTCTCACAAAGCGCTAGGCAGGAAGCAAATACGCTTAGAATAGGATGTGAATGAGCAGGCTGAAGCATCTGCTCAGATGAGCTGTAGCCAGTGTTCCCTCTAAGCTGAGTGAGTGTGAACGAGCTCACAATGTTTTAGCCTCTGGCTCACGCATTTTTGTCTTAGCTCAGGAAGGATGGGTCTCCAGGGCAAACTGATTTATGCAGTAGCCCAATCGCTCGCTCACAACTTCAATGCCAGTAGCTCACAAAGTAGAAT